GTGGTTGGTGCATAAATTTGAATAATAGTTGTATTAACTTGTCTTCCTTGTAGGCATATGGATATTATCCTATCACTGACAGCATTGTACTTCAGGACAGATCTTGAAACATCTTTTGTGATGATGAATGCCATGCCAATTTCTCATTCCCAGCATAGTAGATCATATGGTTGTCTCATTCAAAATGGCCAAAACTGGTCCATTTCAGCCCCCTAATGCCTAGGATATCATTCTTTATGAGTTCCATTTCATTTTTGACAACTTCCAATTTTCCTAGATTCATACTTCGTACATTCCAATGTCTGATCATTAATGGACGTTTGGAGCTGTTTCCTCTCAATTTGAGTTGTGCCATGTCAGCACATGGAGGTCCTGAAAGACTTACTTTAGCCATATCAAGGTTGGTTCTACGCTAATGAGGCAGTTCTTTCCCAGTCCTATTTTGAGTGCCTTCCAACCCAAGGGGCTAGTCTTCCTGCACTTGTGTTGGACAATGTTTCCAAGCTATTCATAAAGTTGCCCAGTAATGTATCAGACAGTGTTACTCTGCTATTCATAAAGTTTTCCCTGGCCAAGTTTTGAGAAGTGGATGGCCTCCTCCTTCTTCCTAGTCTGTCTTAGTCTGTAAGCTGTGTTGAAACCTGTGCACCATGTGCAACTCTGCTGGCATCTGAAACACCAGTGGCACAGCCTCAAGCCTCACAGCAACATACAAGCCTCACAGGATGACAAATTGACAGGCAAGTTTGTCTCATTTAGCTGCTGGAAACCTCTGCACCCTCCTCTTACCTAAGTCCTACCTGAAACCAGCCACTCTGTGGTACCCGGCTGCTCTTGGTCCCTCCCTTTCCTGGCTCTAGGGGGCTTGGGGCCTAGTTTTGCCTTCCCACCCCTTTTTACCTGGATATCCTGCTGCTCCTGAGGTCCCCGAGGCTGCTCTTGGTCCTTCCCTTTCCTGGCTCTAGGGGGCTTGGGTCCTAGCCTTGCCTTTCCACCCCTTTTTACCTGGATATAGTGCAGGTCCTGAGGTCCCCGAGGCTCCTGTTCATTCCCTTTCTTGGCTCTAGGGGGCTTGGGGCCTAGTTTTGCCTTCCTGCCCCTTTTTACCTGGATATCCTGCTGCTCCTGAGGTCCCCGAGGCTGCTCCTGGTCCCTCTCTTTCCTGGCTCTAGGGGGCTGGGAGAGGTGAGATCATCACAATCTGAGTGGTAAGATATAGAAAATGATGGTGAGGTGATCATATGCAGTGGTGAGATAGTCGTAGGGTGAGAAGCGAGAAGGTCACATAGTGATAGGTGAGTTGGTCACACTGTGAAAGGTCAGAGGTAATATGGTGAGAAATGAGTAAGCTACACTGAGAGAGGTGTAATGTTCACACTGAAAGAACTGATTGTCAAACTGTGAGGTGACATGGTCCCCTTGAGTGGTGAGAGGTGAAACTGTCACCTTGTAAAAAATGAGATTGCAATATTGAGATGTCAGATAGTCACACTGAGGTAAAATTGTCACACTGAGTGGTGAGATAGTTGAAGGCTGAGAGTTGAGATGGTTGCTGTATGAAGGGTGAGATGGTTACAAAGTGGGAAGTGAAATTGGCACACTGAGAAGTGAGATGATCACAGGGTAAAAAGTGTGATTGCAACACTGAGTATTTGTATTTGCATCTAGCAAAAGTTGGCACAGTTACAAGAATTATGCAGCTATTGAGATGTGAGATAGTCATACTGATTGGTGATATGGTTACTCTGAGTGGTGAGTTGGGTCACACTGTGATATGTGAAATGGTAACTCTGAGAGGTCAGATGCTCAATGAGAAACATGAAATAGTCAATCTAGGAGAAATTATATTGTGAAAGGCTAGATGTTCGTACAGTGAGATGGTGACAGTGTGGGAGGTGGAATTGTCACACTGTGAGAAGTGATATGGTTACCTTGAGAGATGAAATTGTCGTATCATGAAAGTTGAGTAACACTGAGATGTGTGATTATCTCACCAAGATGATAACAGTGTGAGACATGGGATAGTCACACTGTGAGTGATAAGATGGTTTTACTGGGGGAGGCAAAATTGTCACTCTGAGATGTGAGATGGTCCCATTCAGAAGTAAGATGGTCACAGTATGAGAGATGAGATGGTCACCTGTTGCAGGTGAGATGGTCATATTATGGTAGGCAAAGGTACAAAAATTTCCTTACCATTTAGAGCACTATTTTCTTGAAAGTTCCTTGTTGTGATTTCCATACCCAAGTAAACAGCATCATGTAACTTGTTTCTGTGTTGGTTCGATACACTTATCTAGAAAAATTAAAGGAGGAAAACCAACCTAGTAAATATTGCAGCATATATCATTGGGGACATGTTAATGGCACTGTAACATTTCAGCATCCCCAGTGTATAGTTCTCAGCATTATTTGTCTTTTTCTCTCCCTACTTTTGTTGAACTAATTTAATCTGAAATCCTGTGGACCTCACTGACTGTTCTTCTAAGTGCTATGTGTATAATCTCAGGCATCTATTAGTGTCTTGCTTAAATAACCAAGTGACTATTTATTATGTCTCCTTATACCTTAAATCTAAAGAAGCTCTGGTGGTGCAGTGCCTAAGGCATTTGACTGCTAACTAGAAGGTTGGTGGTTCAAACCCACCACCTGCTCTGTGGAAGGAAGAAGAGGCAATCTGTTTCCATAAAGATTTACTGCCTTGGAAACCCACTGGGGGTCACTGTGAGTGGGAATTGACTTGGTGGCAGTGGCTTTGGCTTTTTATACCTTGAATCTGTTTTTCTAAGTTCTTATAGTTAATGAGTGAATAATCTAGTTGAACTCTGCAAGTAATCCATTTTTTCCTTCTGTCCAAAACAATTTCAAATAATACACTATAAAAGTCCACAAGGCTCTTCCTTTAGGGAAATACTCAATTATTACATTGTTCAGAAAGCACACAGCTCAAATTTGGTGAGGTGCTTTTTATAACAGCCCTAATGTACGCACTGCCATAGATCAATTGTGACTCATAGCAACCCCCACTGGGTTTCCGAGGTGGTAAATCTTTGCAGAAGTAGATTGCCCCATCTTCCTTCCACGGAGTGGCTGATGGGTTTGAACCACCAGCCTTCTGGTCAAATAAATGCCTTAGGCAGTGCACCTCCAGAGCTCCTAAGTGCTACTATAGATAGCCAGATATGTGATTAAGCAAATACAGTAAAATATTAATCACAGAATTTAGGTGAATGTTCACTGTACAATTCTTGCCAACTTGATTGAATGTTTAAAAATCTTTGTAATGAAACAGTAGAGAAATCCCTGCAGTATTATAGATATGCATAGCATATGATTTTTATTTCAAAGAATTTTATTCTGAGTCCTGTCTCTAAAGATAATAATGAAATTTTATTTTACTGAGAGTTGATCCCATGTGTTTTTTTTTAATTCTATTTCTTCCAGATTATAACAAAGTAAACCATCTAGGAATTTTCATATAAAATGTTTAATCATATCCTTTCTTATTTTTTAAACAACCATGATCTACAGATAATTTTTTCCTGGAAATTGAAGGCTTCAAATTACCATGCTGGGTGGCTGAGCACAACTTTTTCTTTATAGTGAACCTGCCTTTTTATTGTGATGCTAAATCCAAGTAATTTCTGTATCTAGTACCTTGCTGTATTTTACAGGAGGAAGACCTTCCTTCCATAGAACAGCTAGCTCATCAGATTGAAGATGAAGAAATAAACCTGCCTGAGAAGCCCCAGAAATATCTCCAGCGGGTTTTCGAGGGAACCATCTACAAAGCCCTGGTGGAGAAGAGCATCCTTGACTACTTACACTACAATCATTACCATCTGCCCATGTATGCATGGCCAGGCATCATTTAGCATGGCACAGGCTCCACTTTACTGTATTCCTACATGTAGTTCCTGGAAGTGCTCTGTATAAATAGGAAACTCTTCTGAAGCCTGGCTTGACAGAAAAGCATCCTGTTTTTGTCTTTTCTCTTCAGAATCCACTTAGGCCTGCAGTTTTCAATTGTGCCAGTAGGTGGCACTGGGCTGCACATCTCCATTCTGGGGCAGGGATAAGCTTTACAAATACCAGGCATGTTTTTATGCAGAATAATAAACCATCTTAGCAATAAAATGGGATCATATGGTATAAAATATGTTTTTACCTGGGGTGTGATTCTGTTCGATATTCTGGAATGTCCTATCACCAAATTGTTAGTTCATCACATGTTTACCCAGTAATAGTTGTGGGTGATAAAAAAAGAAAATCCATGAAGGGAATGTCCAGAAGGGAAAATTAGTAAACAGATGATAAGTTAAAGCTGTAATCCAACATCAGAGGGATCGATTGTGAAAGGAAGTTTACAAAAATTTTTGAAATAAGGAAACTGATATCACAATTTCTGAATATCTCTTTCATGTTGCAGATCACCAGTATAAAGGTCTTTAAAAATGGGAAGATCAAGGAGCTTACTTATGGGTTTTAGACCAGAAAATAGTAGTAGGAAATTAATCTAATTTATTTCCTTTGACCCTTACCATGGTTGCTTTGCATCAAAAAGTCTCTGGTACACATCACCTGTAATGTGGATCAGAAACCCTCTTTTTTATAAATGAAACAAATTACTTGCCCTCTGGAAATTGCATGGACTCATGAACCACCAAGAACAACACATAAACTGAGATTGTTTTGTTTTATAGTTTGGTTTTCCGAGGTGGTATAGTTATGGAAGTAGATTGCCCCACCTTCTTTCCAAAGAGTGGCTCATGGGTTTGAACCACCAGCTTTCTGGTTAGCAGTCAAGTGCCTTAGGTACCACCATAGCTCCTTTCACTAGATAGTGTGACATAATTTGTAACTGAATTTTTGACAGCAGAGCTTAAAATTGGTTTCATGGACAAAATTCCAGCTTTGTTCATTATTTATATTTATTTTAGATTTGTATTTACATTCAGTATTTGTATTTGCATCTAGCAAAAGTTGGCACAGTTACAGGAATTATGCAGCTATTGGGAAGAAAACTTATAGTTGGAACTATGGAATTATACATGCGTTATCAAACTCTTTGCTATAAACAGTGTAATTATTTGGGTCTCCAAGGTTGTTTGATGTTTCTCAAAAATGGAATTATTCCAGAACACTAGACTCTGATTTTTCTAAGACAAAAGCAAGCAGTAAATGCCACTAATTCCTTCACAAGTACATTTTACACAAACACATGGGTCATTTAGGGGAAAGCCCAGAATCAGCCATATGGTACAAACCCGGTAGCTTGAATGGGGAACAATTGCATCTGGGCCACTCTTCAGAATGCAGACCTAACACACATGGAACCATATTTTAGGGGTCTACAAATGAGGCAGCACAAGCACCTATTATCCCTTCTTACCTCCTAAGAGGACCTAGGTCAAATTCATCAGCAAATGGAGTGAGTTTTGTGGCAGGCCCTGGGACCATTGGGTAGAGATTAACACAACAATCTTTGTTAGAAGATCAAGTTATGATTTCTGTGACAAAATGTAACCCTTAAAATTGGTGATATAGAAATGACTTCAAATAACAATATCAACCTTAATACCAAATCATTCATAATTTTGATAATAAGTTTTCCTTTGCTGCCTTTAAAAAAAAAAAAAAGTAGTCTGGGATCAATTGACACAACAAAATACATAAAAGCCTTGTTCTGCATCCTACATTGGTAAGTAGCAACTAGGGACTTAAAAGCTTTCAAGCGGCCATCCAAGATGCAGATAATGGTCTCCTAGCATCAGAAGCAAAGAAGAATGCAAAAAAAGGTGTTTGGAAGCAATCAAATGCCTAGGACAAGATGGCCCTCGAGACCAGAAGACCTAGATGGTGCCCAGCTACAAATCCCAACCACTCAGGCAAGGATCAAATCTGGAGATCCTGGATAGAGTGGGAGGAAAAACATTGAACAAAATCCAAAAACTCAAAAATGACCAGAATTACTGGTCTGATGGAGTCTGATGAGACCCTCAATACTATAGGCCTGGAATACATTCTTCACCTGGAATAAAACTCACTCCCAGGGGCTGGCTCTCAGCCCAATAGTTAACAAGGTGTACATGCAAACCACTCAACTCAGGATGACCCACCCACATACTCTACAGTAGTACATCCCTTAGAGCAATAGACCATGGGGCACCAGAGGGGCAACATTCTCACTGAACAAATGCAGGACAAACAGGAGTGCATAACTATGAGGGGCACAGGGGGAGGGTTACTTGACAGGGAAGCAAGGAGACTGGGTTAGGTTTGGGCATGGTAAATTGGGAGTGAAACTAAATGTACACATAATATTGAATGTAAAATGAAGTCTTAAATAAAGTAGTCTGGGACTTCTGTAAGTATCCTGGCATTTTTGAAAATACCTAGAATATATTTTATTCTACAAAACTTATTTGGCAGACATAGAGAGGTACATGGGAGGTACAGACAACAAATATGAACCCTTTTGCACATACAGTGCTGCATTGTCAGTGAAGGCAAACATAGGTAGATGGATGGATAGATGGGTGGACAGGCTAAATGATTAGGCATGTCTATAAAATGGGGAGTGTATCCAAGAACATAGATAGGGTTGGCAGACAATGGTCCTATAAGTTTATGTGAATGATCAGAATTCCCAGGTGTATACTAGAGCTGATAAGGGGCAAGGTTGTGGTCACTGCTTGGTCATAGCCAGCTACCCAGAGGGACCGAGTAGTTGA